GCCAGAAAACCAGGCTTGGAGGCTCCGTGGCCAGAACCAAGACACAGGCCCCCTGCAGGGCTGGTCTGGAGGAGATAGCACAGCTCCACCACTGGACCCAGTGAAGCACCTGCTCTGCTGAACTCACAAGTCCTGGGCATTGGGTGTCACCATGAGGATCCCTGACATGGCTGCTTGCGGACACTGGCTGGATCTGCTGCCACCATGGCCAGATCAGATTCTGTGTGGCACCTGATGCTATGAATTGCTGGCCTCTGATTCCAAGTCTGGAACAGGCAGGGGCAGGTGACTGACTGAGCCCAGGTCACATGTCTGGGCTCTAGCTGCAAGAGAGGCTGGAATAGCAAGAATCTGGCTTCTATAGAGGGGAGCAGACTTGTGAGCTGAGGAACAAACAAACAAAAACAAACACCTGCTGCACCTGCCTTCTAGGGAAGAAGGCTCATGTGCTACAAGTACCAGGCCTCCTGGGTGATGGGTTTTTTTTTGTTGTTGTTGTTAGTACTGTCAAATTGATTCTGACTCCTAGCGACCCTGTGTGCAGCAGAGCAGAACCCTGCCCCGTTTCTTTGCGCCATCCTCTCACCTTCCGGTGCTGTATCAAACAATGTTCTGCTGCTATTCACAGGGGTTTCATGGTCAGTTTTTTTGGAAGTGGGTAGCCAGGTCCTTCTTCCTGGTCTGTCTAGTCTGGAAGCTCCACTGAAAGCTGTTCACCCTGGGTGACCCTGCTGGTATCTGAAACGGCAGTGGCATAACTTTCAGCATCAGACCAACACGCAGCCACCTCAGTCTGACAATTGACAGAGAGCTGGTGTGGTTCCCTGACCAGAAATGAACCCAGGCCACAGCTGGCTGGGTGATGGGTAGAGCTACAGCATTGAAGACCTGAAGGGCTGGGGCACAGAGTAGATTAATTGCTGGCATATGAGGCACTATGTACTACCACGGGGAAAATAGAATATGTCAGAGAATTAGGAGGGGGTGAGTTAACAAAAAGAGAGCATTGAGAGAGACAGTCAAGAGTTTTAGAGTAGCTGCCACAACGAATGAGATTTTGTGAAGTGTAATATTACACTTTTTCATGTGACTCCAATAAAGATTTACCGTACTTTTTGAGCCTTTTTTGGAGTTGCATGTGTGTGCATGTTTTGCATAACTGGGATCACTGTACACATATAGTTCTATATACTCTTGTTAAGTTCATTCCTTAATATAGCATGGGTATCTTTTCCTTTAATTATATTCACCTCTATGCCATCCTTTTTAATGCCTGTATAGTACTCCATTGTACAAATGTACCATACTTTATTTAACCAATCTCCTACTGATGGTCAGTTAGATTGTTTACAACTTATTTTCTCCTAGATTGTTCTACACTGAGCATCCCTGTGTACTTTCCCAGTTATTCCTTTAGGTAAAATTCCTAGAAAAAGAACCGCTACACTAGTGGCTAAGCACATGTAACATATTGATTTATATTTGCAAGTCATATTCAAAGGTAGTAACAATTTATATGTCTATCCAGGGCTGGGACTAGGAGGTGAGTGAGACACTTTGCCTTGGGCACAAAATTTAAGAAGGCATTTAAAAACTCAGTAATCAAGACAAATAATGTTTAAGGCAATATTTTTAAAATCAAATTAATGCAAAAAAGTTCATGATGAACAAAATACCAAATTTTTAAATAAAGACAGGATCAGTATTACTTATTTTTCCTTTTGCCTCAAGCTCTGAGGCAATGTTGCTTGGCATGGCACTGTTCCCATCAACATGTTCTTGCCAACCCTAGGCATTATAAATCTTTTTACTCTTTATCATTCAAATGGGAGAAAAATGGTATCCCATTTTAATTTTCATCACTTTAACTGTTATTGATATTGAGCATCATATTGTATGTTTATTGGTCATTTGTATTTCTTCTTCTATGAATTGGCCTATTCATATGGATTCCTTATTTTTTCCATTTAGGTGTACATATCTCATTGATTTGTAAAAACTCTCTATATATTAAGGAACTATCCTTATATGCTTTAATATACTTTATACTTTATATACTTTTAATATACTTTATACACTAAGGAGCTATATTAAGGAACTCTTTACTATCATATATTTTGCAAATATTTTTCTAGTTTTTCATTTTCCTTTTAACATTGTTTTTTTCAATTTACTGCTTTAAATGTTTACATAGTCAAATTTGTCAATCTCTTATTTTTTTAATTCCCCTGGTTTTCACCTGCAGAAAATAATTTCATTGTGATTGAAAATGAAGGCTTTTCAGTCATACAGCCTGGATACCATGCACTAGCTTATGCATAACATAATCTCCACGTGCTTTGTTATATGTAAACTGAGAATAACAATAGGATCTACTTCATAGAGTTTTGTGAGAATTAAATGAGTAACACAAAATGCTTAGAACAGGATGGATCACGTAGTAAGTACTCAATAAATGTTAGCTATCATCATATGCTAACCATATATATACATGAGTCCATTTCTGAATATTCTATTCTGTTCCATTTTTCCGTGTTTTCCTGCTCCGGTACCACACTGTTTTAATTACCTAGATTTATATAGTGACCTTTGAGCTGGTTAAGCAAGCTCCCTTCTCATTTTTCTTGGTTTTTCAAATTTTTCTTGGCTGTCCTCATTCATTTATACATACAAATGAATTTTAAAAGCTATTTATCAAGTACCACAAAATCCCTCTGGGATTTTAACTGAAACTGTATTAAATTTATATATTATCTTAGGGAAGCATAACATCTTTACAATATGAGTCGTCCTGCCCAGGAACGTGCTGTTTCTCTTTATTTAGTCAAGTCTCCTTTGTACTCTTCTAGGAAATTTTACAGTTTTCTTAATGTACATCTTGCACATTTTTATTTTACTTGGTATTTTTAATTTTTATGGCGATTTATTTTATTACTGGCAATGACATACATATATAAATGGATGATGTTTGCATGTTCATTTTGTATCCAGCCTTCATTTTGAGCCATTTTATTCATTTCTCATTGATTGTCTGTATGCTTATCCAAAATGAATTATGTCATTCATCTGCCTAACAATAACCCTTCAGGACAAAGTCTGAATTTCTGGACTGACATACACTAATTTTTTTCATATAAGCACCTCCCCCACGCCAAGCACCATGAAGCACTAAGGATTCATCAATAAACGGACAAAAATCTCTGCCATTAAGAAGCCTACATTTAGGAGAATTTGTGCTTTGTTTCATGTCCTGCTCATGGATCCATCCCCATCTCCTTTGCCTCTTACGCGTGCCGTGTGCTTCAGCTATCCTGAATTAGTTGTCATTCTCCAGAAACGCCTTCCTGTTCGATACCTCTTTGCCTTGTTCTTTTTCCACCTGTCACCCTGAAAGGCTCCTTTATATCCTCATGACTCATGTCAGGTACAGTCTCCTCTCAGCCACGTTTCCTGGTCCCCTCTGCAGAGTTAGGAGGTCACTCTTCCATGCCCCCCTGACTTCAGTGATGACTACTTCACTTAAATAGAATTGTTGCTTTTTCAGTCCATGAGTTCCTTGAGGCAGGAGTGGGGTGTTGATCATCTTTTTGTTACCTTGTGACATGGTATCAAGGTGGTTTCAAGGAATATTTGTTGAAGGTATAAATGTACTGAGTTGATTGAGCGGCACAGCACGATCATACATGCCAAGGTGAGTGGCCACACAGGTGCACCCTGGGTAGTGCTCCGGGCAGTCACAATTAGACTTACAGAAGTTCAGGGGAGGAGATCACCCAGGCTGAGTGGTAGCCATGGTGCTGGGGGAGGTGGAGCTTTAGGCGGACCTTGAAAGAGCTTGAGACTTCTGCCAGCTCTCTCCCACTCCACTCTTTCTCCTCCCTTCCACAAAAGGGCCTAGGATCAAGGGTAAGAGGTCCCTCCCGCACTTAAGAAAGGGGGTGTTATGGATGGGTCCAGTCTGAGGCCACTGACCAGGCCACATTTGCAGGGATGAAGCCCTAGGAAAGGGCATCAACAAAGCTTTCACGGAGGAACCACTGTCCCTGCTCGCGCCAGGCTGCTCCTCCTCGTGAGCTGGTATGGTTTGTAGGGGTCTCTGTCAGGCATGGGCTTTCAGCAAGAAGGAGGTAAAGCAAGTCTTTCTGCCCACAGAGTTCTCATCGGGAAATGTGTTGGGCTCCATGAACGGCCTAGTTCACTTAAACTCAACATTGGGGTTTGGGTCGAGGCCTCCACTGGTAATAAAGCGTCCACCACCCCAGTCTCCCGCCCGAGAGGCAGTGTAGCGTAATGATCAAGTGCCTGGCCTTGGCATCCAGACGGCTGGGACCAAACCCTGATCCTTTCACTTATTAGCTGGACAACGAGTCAAGTTGAAAGTGAGTGGCCTAAAAGAGGAGGGTCTTTAATCGAGACTCAAAATCATTCCAAGAAGATCATTGTATTGTTAACAGCTTGCATGGCATTTAGTATAGCGTGCATAAGGGTGTAAGAGAAAGACTACCTGGGTTCAAAACCCAGCTTCTCCACTTAGTATTGGTGTGACTTTGGGCAAGTGACTTGACCCCCATGGGTCTCAGTCTTTGTATCTGTAGAATAGGGATGCTAACAGTACCTACCACACAGAGTTACTGTGAGGATTAAATGAATGAATGCAGGTTGAGTGCTTGGGCAAGCGCCTGGCACAGAGTGAGCACGTAAGTATTCGTTAGCTAGCACTACATTATTGCTATTCCAATATCACATTGTCTCTGGTACTGTTTTGGTCAACCAAGAAAGTATATAGATAGAATTATGTCACTTTAGGGCAAAGTTCCATATGGAGAGCACAAAACTTCTGCACTGGGAGAGGCCTCTGGGATCCAGACGTTATGAAGTCAGTGCCACTGAAGACCCACTAAGAAACATCACAGAGAGTCACAGGAGATGGCATTAGTTGGAAAAGGGACTCAGTTTGGGGTCAAGGCAGGTTCTGAAAGGACATCAAGCCACAAGCGCACCTTCAGGCCTGCTGAGCAACATCTCAGCGGGGGCTGCACTGATCTAGGGTTGGACAGCACGGGGATTCCTTTCCAGGGCATCCTGCAGGGGCAACAGCCCTCCACATGCAGGTCATCCTGGGGGAAAGGAGAAAGGTGGCATGGGTCTCTGGCCAGAGGGGATCCAGCACGAATTTGTCTCTATGAACAGGCAGGTTCGCTCCCAGGGAGGCAGAGCTGTGGTGAGCAGGTGCTCAGACGGGTGGGGTCACCTCCCTACACACAAGTCTTGCTATTGCACTTCATTTGTCCCCTTTATTATTTTTTTTAATTAAGCCATTTTCTCTATGGCTTCTTTTTTCTTTGTTTTTGTTTTTGTTTTTGTTTTGAGGAAGGTTAGCCCTGAGCTAACTACTGCCAATCCTCCTCCTTTTGCTGAGGAAGACTGGCCCTGAGCTAACATCCGTGCCCATCTTCCTCCACTCTACATGTGGGACGCCTACCACAGCATGGTTTGATAAGCTGTGCCATGTCTGCACCTGGGATCCGAACTGGCGAACCCCAGGCCGCCAGAGCGGAATGAACTTAACTGCTGCGACACCAGGCCGGACCCCATTTGTCCCCTTTAAGTCAGGACCTGCTGACTTAAGGAAGAGAAGGGTGGAAAGGATGCTGTTGGAACAAATGTCACCAAGACTCGGGCAATCCAAAAAGTGAGGAAAGGCTAAATGGAGAGAGGCAGGAGGCACATTGCTTTTCACAGAGCTTCCAGAAGACGTGAGTTGCATGAAGCTAGAATTAGAGCCTGGCAATTTGACTTTGAAAGGATGTAGATGGAACTATGCCCGAGTTGGGTCTCTGGCAGACAGCGTGGCAAGAGCAGAGGGCTTCTGCAGGGGAAAACACGGTATTCTAGAAATATGGTTGCAAAGGTCATCGAGGCCCAGATTGTGAGGACCTCAAATGTCAGATGAAGGATTTAAAATTTTTAAATGTACATACGTATGTATGCATTTGTAAAAGTTCACATGGCTCAAAAATCAAAAGGTATCAATGTATTATAATAGACATATATTTATACAATAAAGGGAGACTGACATGTCTCCCTTTCAGCCCTATTCCCCCACCACCCAACCTGCCACTGCAGAAGCAGCCGATGTTTCTTACATATGCTTCCAGGGATATTAAATGCAGACAGAAGAAAATATGTGCATGTTTTTATGTGTGTGTGTGTGTATCCTTTTTTCACAAATGTTCACTTTTTTCACTTTACAGTAGATTTTAGAGATCATTACCATCTCTATATAAAGAACTACCCTTTTTTATCCCTGCATAGTAATCACTGTATGGATGAATCATCATTTATTTAGTCAGTCCCTAATTAATGGACAGTTAAGCCATTTCCTATCTTTTCCAATTATATATAATGCTACAATAAATAATTTTGCAAACAGGCCATTTTACATGTGTGTGACCATATCTGTAAGATAAATTCCTAAAGGTGTTAATCACTGGGTCAAAGGGTAGGCTAATGAATTTGGATTCCAAGCTGCAATAGGAAGTCACTGAAAGTTACTGGCCAAAGAACGCATGGACAAACAGTATTTTAAGAATTTGACTTCATGTATAACTAATCAGATATGATAGATGATGGAAGAGGAGGGAGTCAAGGATTGTGCCAAGTTCATTAATAAGAGTGACTGGGACAGCCAACATTTGGGTATAATGGAGTATTTTCTCACCTATAGAGACATCTCCTTCCCATCTCTTATACCATATAGGCTCTCAACTAGGTCTCAACCAGACAATGGAGAAAACACAGGGAGAGAAAAGTTTCCTGGATGGGAAATCACTTTAAAGAACCAGAGAGATTAGAGACATCATTGGGTAATGCCATTAATAGAAATAGAAAATTCTAGAGATAGACTTGGCTTATTAGCTAATGGAGGCCCAAAACATACTGGCCCAAAAATGGAGAAAATCTCTGATCTCCCACCGTCAGAGAAAATTTTAAAAATAATAATGTGGGGGGAACAATAAAGTGGAAAGATAAAGGGCAGATTTGCCTTCACTTTCTTTGGTGTTGGAAGACCTGGAGTTAGAATATTCTGACAGTGGATTAAAACGAAAGAGTTTCCAATAGAAAGTGATCCCCATGGGCTTTGTCCTCAGAACCTGCCATCTCAGATTTGAACCATGACCTCCACTGCTCCCCTGTCATCCAGCAATGACGGTGTGAAGGCAGATCAAGGTCCCGCCGCCGATGGCTCGCGATGGCTCTGCAGTATGAGCTCAGCCTGCGGATGCCCAGCCCCTTCGTAATGTGAGACAGATGCCAAACCAGCTCAGCTTACTGATTAGTTGGGAACTCCTTGAAGGGAAGCATACTTTGGCTAGAATCCCGTAATTCAACCATCCAGTTAACCTTTTAAGTGAATAAAAGATGAATACAACAACAAGGCCAAAGCAATATGTCGGTGGTGATGACAGGCAATCCTTGAGGAGGATGAAGGATCTTGGCCCAATAAAAATACAGGCCTGTCCACACTCTGCTCCACCGCTGGGGCAGCAAGCTCTAAAATATTTAGTGTGGTAGCACTGGGGGTGTGTATGTGTGTGTGTGTGTGTGTGTGTGTGTTGTGCTACATTAAAACTCCACTAGAGAAGGGACTTGATCTGTTTTGCTCTCTGTTGTATCCCCAATGGTTAGCATAATTCCAGGCACACAGTAGGCCCTGAGTGAACTTTGGTTGAAAGAATGAATGCATCTACTATGAATAAGTGAATGAATGAACAAATCCACATATACATGAGCCCCTGCCTATATTTATATATGTCATTGCATAACACAAGTATATCTACACGTGGATATGAATTTTTCTTATGTTTTTTGTTTATGAAATGACATTATATCACCTTGTAAATAGCTCCAAATGAGCGCTATACATTTTGCTAGCTCCTTCTCTTTGCCAACCCCTTCAATAGTAGAGCCCTGTCCTAGGCTTCTTCTCATTCTCTTAGAGAAATCTCACCCATGGCTTCAAATTTCATCTATACAAGCTTCCAAACCTCTCTCCAGGTCAGACTTCCTTCATGACTTTGAGATCTGAGTATCTATCTAACATCTCAATATCAGTACTCAGACGTCTCATAGATGCCTCAGAATCAGTGTGTCACCACCTGAATTTATTATCTTGCCCCTTTCAATCATATTCCTTCTCATTCATTCTGGAATTTTCTTATAAGGACTAACGAGTAAAAATCAAAAGGACTATTGTTTTTAGTAGTTATCATGTTTATTGTGTAAAATATCATTCTCCTTTCTATAGTAAGTTCTGTTTTCTAGTCCAGAGCCTTCCTGACTAACGTGGTAGGGTATGCCATGACTGGGTTATAGGTTGATGTCTAAGAAACCAATCCTCTCTTCCCTCAGGGCACCTGGGAAGAGCAGAGGGAAGCTAACACTACAGCCAGGTAGTAGTGTTAATGGCCAGGTGCCTTAGGCTTGAGCATCCTCATCTGTTTACCCCAGTTTTCTATGTGCCACATCATTAAGAAGGTTCAGAGACATTGCTCTTCCCTTCAGCCCTGAAAATCTCCATTAATTCTCACCTACACATTTCATCAGCACCATAGCTAACATTCATATTGGAGCCCTCATCCACAGCAAGATCCTAAATGTCAAGTGAATCATCAGATAATACTCAAATGCCTTAGTGTTAGGGAATTTGATTGATTTTGTTGTGGAATCTAGAATTGGGGGAAAACTTTAACTATCTCTCTTGTCTTAGACTGTTTGGGCTGCTATAACAAAAATGCTGTAAACTGGGTAGCTTATAAGCAGCAGAAATTTCTGTCTTACAGTTCTGGAGGCTGGGAAGTTCAAGATCAAGGTATCCGCAGATTTAGTGTCTGGTGAGGGCCCACTTCCGCATAGATAGCCATCTTCTCACTGTAACCTCACAGGGTGGAAGGGGCAAGAGAGCTCTCTCTGGCTGCTCTTATAAGGGCACTAATCCCATTCATGAGGGCTCTGCCCTCATGACGTAATCACCTCCCAAAGGCCCCACCTCTTAATAGCATCACCTTGGGGTTAGGTTTCAACCTACGAATTTTGGCGGGACACAAACATTCAGACCATAGCACTATCTCTATCTATCTCTCATTTCCAGGTGAAGACATCAGACCTGAGGTTAAGTTACTTGCCTTCAATGATACAAATCAGCCTGGGAAGCTGGAAGTAGATTGCCAGCCCTGTGTTCTCATGTCTCAGCATTACACCTTGCTGACCCTCTGGAGCCTTCTCTGAAACTGAACTTTTCTTTAGCGTGAACACAGTGATCGTCTTTTAACCTAAACACTTAAATTAAACATGCTTTGGCCTTCACGATAACTAACAGGGCTTTATTGTCATTGTTCCTTGATATCTAATTTCCAGACTGAATCAGTGATGAATGAAGTAATGTTCAAATGGTTTATTTTTATGAGATGATTAAATTCCAGAGTTTGGTCTTGAATTTGGAAAACAAATGTTTTTATTTTACCCCCAGTAGTATATTTTTCCTTGCCAGAACAATGCATTTCTGCCTCAGTTTCAACTCTAGAAGTGCGAAAAATCATTTTCAAATAGTTTATTTTACATCTAAGAATGTAAATAGAGATGTGGTAAATACAAAAATCAAGTAAGTGAGAGGAAATCACACGTGAACAGGGACGACACATTGACACTAACGACAAGGATGTAAGTTCAGGCTTTCCAGGCTGAGGAAGAACTGACAAGAGCATTTCTGGACTCCTGAAAACTTAGGTGCTTAGAAGAACATTTAGAAATTACAGCAAGACAGATTCAAGGCCAACACTGCCCACATCCAGACAACAAATTTTCCAACACTTAATATAAATCAACTTAGTAGAAAGCAAAGCAAGGAAGGAATGCCTTATGGAAGCTGATAATTGCACTGCAAACATTTTTAAGTAAAATCTGACTTAAATATGAAAAAATAAGGTAATAATGTCTAGCAAAGACGAATCTCCAGAATGTTCCGTCAAAATGCATGAATCAGTGAAACTAAAGGCAAAGAAAGCCTGCATGTTCGTGTGGCCTCTTTCTCTCTTTCCATAGCTTTCCTTTTATCTCCTTCACTTTTTCTCTTTTAACCTCATTCACATCCCCAAAACTCTCTTTTTTGTTAGCTTCTGTGCACCAAGTGCACCTGGATTTATTTCTATGCCTTTGCACAAGGCATTAAATGCAATTAATCAGTTGAGAGCTCAGACCTAATGGAAACCTGTGCCTTTCCATTGAGGGCTTCGGCTGCTCAACCGGCAAGCTCTCACCAGTGAAAGCCTTTTTAGCACAGGTGCCTGCTGAGCGTGGGAGCCTAGCCAGAGATCACACGCCACCTGCAAGAGCCTATTCCCATCTTTTGATAATTGTTTCTGTTTTTCAAAGGAAGAAGACCTCTATGGCTTCTAGTGCTATCTTTATAAGATGACTCACCTGCCTCTTTGGCCTGTACTTTTCTGTTTCAATCAGTCCTGCATCTCCAACTGTTTCTCCTTCCTCTTCAAATGGTATCTGGTACACAGCCTGTTCTCTACCCTGCACACATTCCTGGCACAAGTGAAGGCAATTCTGTGGCTGTTGCCCCAGTCTCCCCTGAGCTGCTCGCATCTTGGCGCTTGTGTTGGTCTCATGGGACTAGAATCTCCTGGACCTTAGCCAGCCCGGCCAAGCAGACTGGGCATGAGCAGCCTCAGCTCCACTCCTGGGCTAGATCCAGAATCAAACAGGCCACCCTGGCAGGTCCTTTGCATATTGGGAGAAGCCAGGAGTCCAAGAGCCTCAAGCTGTTGTCTTCATTAGTGCCACCATCTCTAGCCACCAGCTTCTTTCATCACTGCCTGCCATGCTTTCCAAGTCCCCACAGGGACAAGAGGCCTGACTCCTATCCAAACTCTTGCCAACATTCTCTCTTCAGGAACCAGGCCTTTCTCCTATGACTGGCCCGCCATGTTGGATCTCATCAGATTTATTTACCAGTCCAAACCAAGGCCAAGTTTGCCCTGTAACTTTGAATACCAGATATTAGACAACCAGAAGCCAGTCCTTAGGCCTAGCCAGATCTGCCATCCCTACTCTTCATAACCTCATCCTTCTTCCCTTCCCCTGCCGATGGCTAGAATGCCAGCACAACTGGTGGTCCAACCTGTCCACATCGGCCAACTGATTTTCTAGATGTACACATATGGGGCCCTCTGTCTCATACTCCACCTTTCATAGACCATTGGTTACACCCACCTTCCCAAATTGTTTTTGTTTTTCAAAGGGAGAACAGATTTTAATGGGGCAATGTGCATTACCTTGACCTTCTTGGCCACCGCTACAAACATTCTCCTTCCCCCTTGCCCGGGTAAAGCCTTCACCCACGACCTGGTTTTCTCCTTGGAGGGAGGAAGGAGTCCTTCCAGATTTCTACCAGCCTACAGTTGTCAGATTTAGCAAGTAAAAATGCAGAATGCCCATTTACATTTGCATTTCAGAGAAACAAGTAATTTTTTAATATAAGTATGTCCTACACAATATTTGCTACATACTTATACTAAAAAAATTATTTGTTGTTTATCTGAAACGCAAATGTAACTGGGCATCTTGTATTCTACCTGGCAACCCCTATGCCAGCCTGATGAGTGGGATTCAGACAACAGATAAACATATGTCCAGTGGGGACTGACTGGCTAACAGGCATCACACACAGTCACACTCTGATGCATGTGTTTTTGATCCTCAATAATATTATAAGTATAGGAAGCCATTAGGACTTTCTTGGGAGTGATGTGACATAAAGGGGAGAGAGTTCTGACAGGCAGAGTTATCACAATAAAAACCTTTACTTTTTCACATTTTTACACAGTTCTCACTCCTAGAATTACATCATGGAAACGTTTGGGCTTATTTAAAATCTTACTTCTGCCTTGGCTGACATAAGAATCGCTCACATAGGAAAATATTCAGACAGTGCAGTGATTTCCCAGCTGCAGATGATAAAATGTTCTAGCCATTCAGTCAACCTGGCAGGAAAGTCCAGCCCAACAGTGTATGAAAAACACTTCAAAATCACATGGGCACCATAGATGTGGTAATAAACAGAGAAGAGTATGTCTGTTTAACAAAGTCCATTAAAATTGGCTTTCTGGGTCTATTATTCTAAGGAGCAGTGGCACTGCATAAAGTTGACACATAGTGATGTCATTCTTCGGACACTATCGATCTTCTCAGCAAGGGCACAGGAGAAATGGAGGAAGAGGTGTGCTGCTCTCTAGGAGCCTATATTCTGATTGGCTCATTGAAACCCACATCTGCTCTGGAGGCGGATGGGAGGGCAGTGTACCCTACTCCTCATAAGTCCATAGAAGAGAGAGGTCATCTCCACATCTCCCCATGAGGATATAGTATTGAAGGAACATTACAGACCCCTAGCGCCACCTTGCCACACTGGCTTCTCTGCCTGCCTCATGAAAGTGAACTGGCCCAGCCTCTTGCTCTCTTTTGGACCTGCCAGAACTGAAACAGAGCTTGAATTCTTGCTCTGTTCCTGACCCCCGTGATAACTGTCCCTGCATCAGGCCCCAGGGTCCAGATCTGGGGGAAGAAGTAGAAAACCAGAGCTGCCTCCTCTAAGCCAGAATCCAAAAATCTCTGAATTTTAGCATAACCAATTTAGTATTTTATTTAGCTTCTTGTGCCTTTCATTGATTGGTTCAGAATGGAACTGAGAGTGGAGCCCCGATCCCAACCAAATCTTCAACCTCATCAAAAGATGCTTTCTGAACTCTGAGGGCAAGCTCCTACAAGATACAAATGAGGACAGGACAGCCATAACCACACGGAGGGCTTAAGTACTCGGGGAGGTGAATTCTTTATAGATGAGTAGTGTTAGGAAGGCTTTTTTGAAGGAGATACATTTTTAACCAAAATGAAATGGATATAATGGGCAGAAGCTGATGAATGGGCGTTTCTGAAGAATAAACAAAGCACGGGCAAAAGGCAGGTGCTGAGTTGGTACATTTAGTGAGAGGGATGGAAAGCAGATGCGCCGGCTTGGAATGGAGGCTCACGTGTAGAAGTGGAGTGAGCGTGGATGTGGCCCTGGGAGTAGAGACAGCCATGAGCCGGTTGTATGGGACGACTGCCCAGCACACCCAGCCCCACTGAGCCTCCATCTCCTGGCACCATACTTGTCCCTGGGCCAGGAGAAGTAAGTGATAATTCAGCACCAAGTCACTTGTGTCCCAAGCTGTCATTTTGTCTCCCTGCCACTGCTCACTGGACTTCCTTAAATCCAAACATCTTTTGACTGAACCACTTCTGCACATTTCCAAATTCTTTAATTCTTAGTGTCTTCATCAGGAAAGCTGGCTTATGTCACAGGAGCAACGCAAAGATTAGAACAAATAGAAATAAAATATCCTAATGCAGCATCTGGAACCTAGAAGGTATTCAACAAATGCCAGTTCTTTTTTTTGGAAAGATAGTGTACATCAGTGGAAACAGTACAAACTCAGAGGCCAATTGACCTTGGATGCCATCATAGATGTGATTCCCCATGAAGCAGATGCCAAGATGGAGATTTGGGAGCAGAAAATTTATTGAGGGGGTGCACGGGGGAGGAAGAGCGGTGGGGAAGCAGAGAGGAACTGGACTTCAATGCAGTCACACACGGGCAGCCAGTGCCTGGGGGAGCTCAAGCGCTCTTCTGAAATGTCCGGCTTCAAGGCAAGAAGGGGTGGTCCCTTATCTCCCCTCATCTACCAGTCACTGGGCTCAGGCTGGCCCTGGGAGGTGGCTGTCTTCAGGTGAGAGTAGTTCCTAGAGAGGGACTCACTTGAGCGCTGCCAGCCACCAGCACTCCTAGTGGTTGGTGGGGGAATGAGAGTCTTGACCTGGGCATCTACCACAGCGTCCACTAGACCCACTCAATCAACGGTCATAATTTCCCTTGTTAATTAATTATCTTGGTTGGATCAGCCACTGGCTGATCTTCATCCAGGTCCCTGTCCGTACCTGGTGGGCACATGTAATATCCATGTCTTTGCTCATTCTACCCATTTGGATGGTTGGGAACAGAGACTTGTAAATTCTCAAGCAGAGAGGAATAGGATGAAATGGACGTTAGCACATTATTTTAACAGATAGATGGTGGATGATTTTAGGATGGGGGAAAAATTAAAGATAAGAAGACCGCCCAAGGGGCTGTCAGAGTAGCCCAGGCTTGGGGTGATGAGAGCTCCTACTCCATGGCAATAGTTGTGTAAACTGAACAGGCCAGAGAGTCCAGAGAGAGTAAGAGGAGGGCGTGAGAGGAACAGCAGGACTTAGTAACAAGCTGATTGTCGTAAATTAAGGGGGAATAGGAGCACAATAGCCTCTAAGATGAGCCTGAGGACCTCAGAGGTTAGCAACTAGTGGTAACTGGGTAGCAGTACCATTTTGGGGGGAAATATGACTAATTTGGCATTTGACATGAAATATCCTCCAGCCAAATGGAGATATGGTAGTAAATAAGCAGATTGGTGATCTGCCTAGCTAATGAGATTTTTTTTTTAATTAACAGACTTTTTTTTAAGCAGTTTTAGGCGTAACAGAAAAATTGAGCAGAATGTACAGCTTCCAATACCCCCCTCCCTCATCCCCCCACTGCCATTTCCCCTATTATTAACATCTTCATTAGTGTGGTACATTTGTTACAACTGATGAGCCAATATTGATACTAAAGTCCATAGCTTATATTAGGATTCACTCTTTGTGTTGTACATTCTCTGGGTTTTGACAAGTGTATAATGACATATATCTACTATTATAGTATACAGAAGAGTTTCACTGCCCTGAAAATCCCCTGTGCTCCATTTATTCATCCTTCTTTCCCCCTGAAGCCCCGAGAACCAATGATCTTTTTACTGTCTCCACAGTTTTGACTTTTCCAGTATATAGTTGGAATCATACAATACATAGCCTTTTTAGATTGGCTTGCTAATGAGATTTTGGATCAGATTTTGATTTGTTTGGAAACTCATTTGATTTTAAACAAGATAACAATAGGACCTTTTCTTGTACTTGATTCACTTTTATTCTCAAGTAAACATTTTTAAAGCAAACTTTATATCCCTATCTTGCAAGGAAAAATAGTATCAGCTGCCATAATAGAAGACAATCATGAAATGTATCATTTAGATAGATAGATTTAAATTTAAATTGTAAAACAACCATCCATGTGCTCTCTAAAAAGACTCTTTCTTACCACCTGTCAATGCCAACACTTTAGGAAACACTGGTTTAGCTATTTCCCAGCCCCCACTTTCAACTCTATCCCTTTGATCTGCAGTTTCGTGGCTGGGAAAAGAGAAGACCAAAGGGAAACAGACATACTCTGCCTTCAAGTGTTTGAAGAGCTGCCAAGTAGAAGGAAGAGAGGAACAGCCGATAAATGCCCATAATAGGCCAGGCACTGTGATGAGTGGTTAAAATATATTATTTGGTCCAAATTTCACAATAGCCCAGGTAATTGGGATTTTGATCTCCATCTAAGAAATCAAGAAGCCAAGGTTCTGAGGGATTCTGAATTGCCCAGCTAGTTAAGTGATGGAGCAGGGTCAAACCCAGTATCACTACCCATG